GCCAGGAAAAAGATTGCATGTAATAAATTAATGTGTATACTAACATTTATTGCAAAATAATCAATGTTATATGAATTTTCGGGAATGATTAGAGTATAGAATATCTTTCTGCACATCGAAGTTGTACAAGAAGACAGTCTGCATCGGTGAGAAACATGTAAACATATTTTGATGTGCCAAAATGCAGTTTTTGATCTTTAACAACACTGCCTGATTTTAGAATATAGAATATCTTTCTGCTTGTAGAAGGTCCACATGAAGATCCCGGCGAGAGAGAGAACTATATATTTTGATGCGCCAAAATGCAGTTTTTGAGCTTTAACAAAACTGCTCCTTATTGAAGCTAATCACAAATTGCCATAGTCAAAAACATGCAAATCCAACAAAACATTGTAGTGTCCCTTTTCTATCTCCTCTTCCTTTACATTATGAAGGAGGAGAGTTTCAATGATGAGATCTTCCCAGTCAATATCCACTTGCATTTTCCTTTGCTTCTTCCCAGATTTTATACGTTTGAAGACACAAATATCATTCCCATCACTAGAATCGGCTACAAGTGGATGCATAATCTTCTGGATTCGCAGCTTGGAAGTTTTAATCTTTTCTCGCCTCCTTGCAGAAGCTAAGCATCCCCTATCAAAAGATGGTGGTGAAGCATCCAATCCTACATCTTTCTCAAATACTTGCTTCAACAAAAGCTTTTTACTCAAATCTGATTTGCCCTTCCACCAGTCTGTACATGCATGAAGGTCAAAACTTCTTGCCCTTTTCCTTTTGTTACCCTTGGACCTTTCTGATGTAGCCTTGAGTAGAGGAACCTCATCCAAGAACTTAGAATAAATCATGGTCAAACATTCTGGAGAAATCTGGAATTTATCTGGATGTTCAATTCTCAAAGGTGACTTATGATTTGCCTCAAAATACTGCACGGAGCAATTTTCAGTTGTATAACTATCAAACCCATATCGAGTTTCTTTACTCACACAGTCACCAACCACTTCCATCAGATCAAATCCGACTTGCTCAAAGCTCTTCCCCTTCTGACCGAATTGGCTCATTGACTTCATTTCCATGTACTGAATCACATTTGGAGCATTATTCACAATATTCTTCATTGTGACATCTTCACCCCATGGCAAAGCTCGCGCCACTTTTACAAGCCTCTCCAGAAGTTCCTTGTACCTACGCCTACATGTAATAACCGACACATGCAACTCCTTTGCCACATCTTCAATCTTCAAATCTAATTGATTCAATTCCCCAACAAAAACCAAGACTGCAGCCACCACTGCCATCGGCCTCCTTCCCGTGGTCAAGAACCACTTGATCAAACATTGCATCAAAAACACCCCTTGCTTCAACATCCTCTGAACAACATCCTCCAAAATCTCATTAAACATCGGATAATTCCTAATAACATGTTCGAGTGAATTCACAATGTCAAACTCCGGCAACTTCAAATCAAGAAAATCCACAACTCGGTTAATCATCCGACCCAATTCATAAACATCACACCCCACCAAATCCGCCACTTCTTCAATTGGCAAGATCTTCTTATTCTTCCTCATCACAACATAAGCACAAGCACCAACGAAAACCGGAAACCATTTCCCTTGACCATATTCACCTGTTGTAATTGTCTCAACCATAACCTTAACCTCATCGGATTTTGAAGCCGAAAGTCCTAATTTAAACATAAAATCCCCAATCAACTTTTGGGCCTCGTAAATTTTACTTTCTTTATAATTGTAAGCACTGCCAGTGCCAGCAGTGCCCACACGAACATAGGTGCCAGCCGGGCCGGTAATGCCACCAATATGGGCTTGAAAATTGTCGAAATCTTGAACTACACCACATGATGCGCAAACCATATTGCCTGTTACGTCATCCGGGAGGAGAGTTCTCTTCCTGCAGCTCTTGCAGGGACGAGAAGTATCCATCTTTCAATCAGATTTTCTGAAATTGTTTATTGGTATTGGGAAGATTGTTTCTACTGAAAAAATAAAGAATTGATGCGAATATAATTAAGCAATTGCTAGTGTCAGAAGAATAGTGAACTTATTTTTGTAAATCTTGATGCCGGTTGCCGGAGGAAGAAATTGGCGGGTAGAGGGCTGCGACCATAGGACAGGAGGAGGAAGAAAGAATCATATTTGTCCTTTAGAAAAATCGCACAGAACAATCGATTTTCTCCAGATGATTTATTTTGGGACTTTTGGAGCTAGGTCAGTGCGTTAATCAGGATTTACCTAGGGTTTTCATCCGGTGAAAACGACGTCGTACTGTTTTCCCTAGCGACCCTTTACACAATTATTGAGAATATTAGTAATAAGCCGAAAACATTACCAATAAATTTCAGATAGTATTTGGAACCATCTTGCAGTATCTTGAACGCGTTTACTATATCTATGTTCGTCTTAAAAAAATTATGTACATTCGAAATTCTTAAATAAACCGTAATAATTTTGAATCAAATTTTGCTCTTCTACCTAGTAAAATTTGTTTACCTAGTCAAACAAGCTTGTTTGTCGTTCTCGACTAAGGTTGAGTATAAGTCTTAGAACTTGAAATGAGCTGACCACGAGATTTGATACTAGGTCAAGAACCCTCTTTTTTAAGGCGTGTCAATACAAAAATAGTAGTACTGCAATATAAATATTATACAATTCAACTTACCAAATACATAATAATAGAACATAACTGAACTGATTACATCTTATTCCACATTCTAGTTAGGAGTATGAACTAATTACATGAATATACGTAATTATCATCCCTATGAGCTACTATAAAGTATAATGCATTAAAATACAGTACGTAAACCGCTCGTCCCAAATAGACCGTCGATAAAAAGTCGGAAAAAAGTGAGAATGATGTCAAGGCGACACACTTGCTACATTAGTCAAGACAAAGGGTCGCAATCCCACAAGAGTAGGCTAACCTGAAAAATCTGTTCTTAGTTTGGATTGTAAGTTTCAATTCGCCTACATGAAACTTTCTTTCTTTTGGCTACATAAAAATTGGAGTGAAATGATTTCATACAATTTCCATTATTATTCTGAATTTGGATTTCAAGATCTAATTTCCATGCAGCTTAACACGATGTAGCATCGAGTATAGTTTAATCAAGAGTCCAACAAATTGAAAGTCAACATTACCTTTGTAACTAAGTAGCTTTCCCTTTCATTTATCTATATAAATATTCATTGTATTTAACTCTTGGTAATTAAGTAGATTTCCCTTTTATACATCATTAATTTTCACACATCTTTTCTTGATATTTTGATTGATTTAGTCTTCTATTAAGTTATCTTCAACCATCAACTTCAAGAATTATAAAAAAGAACTAAACATTATCAAGACTTCGTATTCTTTCAGTTCTTCTAAAACATTGATGTCCAGATATTTGGATTTTTTTTTTAAATATGAAAAATCTAAATGGTTTATAGGATTTTTTTTTATCAAGTTTACATAACAAATGGAAGTAGAAGGTGGAGTGAGATTGTTCATAGTAATTTGTTGAAGAAGAAATAAGCTCAATGGCTTAAAGCCTTGAACATAAATGTGCTTTTCGCTTAACTATGCTTGTTTCCCTGCCGGCCTGCATATTTGTCGCGGACATCTTCTCCTCTCCTTTGCAAGAAAATGAGAAGAAAATAATTGTATTGTCATCCTCTGGACATAACAAAACAATCGTATTCCTTCGTCGTATTCTTCTTTTCTTTTTACTTTCATTGAACATTGTCATCTACGAGAACATAAGCAGATTCTTCTAATTCTGCCCAAATTATTTTTGTTTACAGATCTAAATTAAGATGGAGATATTGCAATTAATAGTCAATTTTTCTTCACCATATTCAAGGAACCAAGTTATTTGAAGGAAGCATCTCATCCTCTCCCTTGGAAGTCTACATGTGAGATATCCAGCATAGTTTGACATATTCCCAATAAAATATAGGTCGGCCACATGGATACTTTTTTACGACCCCCATTAGATTCATCACTATGTATATACACATAAATTTATTTTTTGCAATTTCATAGCTTTCGTTTCTATATATTCTTAATTTTCACACGTCTTCTCTTGATATTTTGATTGACTTCTACATCTTTTATTAGGAATCTTGACTTATAAATTGCAAGATTTTCTCTCCCTTGTATCCTTGTGGAACTGAATTCTAGAGAAGGCATGAACATCAACCACAAAAAAGTGTAAGATTCTAGCTAGATAAGACGTTCACTTTTTATTTATTTAATTCTTCTGTTTTTATTCAGAAAAATAGACCATATCTTGACTAGGCTCTCTTTCACTAGGGTGCATATTTGTCCTGTCATCTTGTTTCAAGTCTCCAATTTACGCTATTAAAGAAAAATGGGAGAATGTAAAATCACCTTGGGCAAAACAGGCATGGAAACATCCAAACTACCCTTAGTTTTGCATAAAGTTTTAACTAGCTCACCATTCCCTTCTCACCATCCAATACCAGTGATTTTAAATTTAAGCTATTTGGGTTCCCAGAATACACACACACTAAAATTTTCCACCATATTCACAACATATAAAAATTACATGTATATGCATAACCACGTTTATAAACTTAGGGCTCTTGGGACTCAAGGATTGACAAGATCAGAATAATTTGATTTGAAAAATAAGTAATTTGAGTTCCAAATAATCAAATCCATTCTTTTCCTCCCAACAATAAAAACCAGCATACATGTATTTCAAGACATAATTCTACTCAAAGATTAACAGTTTAAGCTTCAAGAAAATGACTACAAGGTAAGCTTACAGGCATATTAAAACCAAGTGCTTTGCATGTGTGAAAAACATCTAAAGCTTGGCTACCAAACGTATGTTTTTTAAATCAAAATTAAAGTTGAAGCCTTTGGGGATCCAATCCCGGCAAGAATAATTGCTGATGCTTTCGCATATGATTAAGAAATACTGGGATTTTTGTTAGCAATACAAGGCAGAATAAACGTAAGATATCCAAGGATCAAGGCCAAGAAGGCATGTGGTGGGATCTAACCAAAACAACAAACAATTTAGTGCAGAGCTTGCTATTGGCAACAAATGGGACGGCAGCATTGGTGGTGGTGGTGTGATCAGTGGCAGCATAGACATCATTTTCATTAGGTGGCGGCAAAAGAAGACACTGTGTGGTTGCTGGAGGGTTATAGAAGAGATTAGTGAGAATAAATCCACATCTTTTTCTTTATAGTAGTCTTGAATTCATGCATTTCGAAGCTTTTCCGGTTAGAATGTTGGGGGCTCACTTTTTTATAGCATGCAGGGCTAGATACTATAGAAGTTTCTTTATTCTTCTTCCTTGTCTCAAAGTTTGAAGCCTTCAACTAGGTTTCTTTCCATTTGAATTCATATAACACCAGTTTATAAAAGCTGTGTAGCAAAAATTATCTGTACATATGTTCCATCATATGTAATTACACACCTATACATATTTGAAATTATTAATGTCTTTCGATTCTTCTTTTCTACACAATCAAAACAGACAAAAGATACAAACCAAAGCCCACTTACAGAAAATTACATTCAATTTCATCTGAACAAAATTTAACGTCTTTGCCGGCACAATTTTTTCAAGTGTTCCTTTTGAGAGGGAAGTGCACCTTGAATTCTTGCCAGCCTGCAAGATTGTTCGGTAAATAAACGATATGCTGATGGCCTCTCCCATGGAACAATCCCAAAATCATCATTGTACTTTTCCATCCCCTCAACCAAGAACTGCCAGACGAAAGCTCCTGCCCCAGACTTCTGTTTTTTTGCAGACTTGTATGCGATATCTAGAATAACTTTGTAGAATCTATCTCGTTGAGAAGGATCGAAATCTTTGTTCTCAGTCGACAATCCAAATTCAGTGAACATTATCGGCTTTTTAAGTTCTTTATCACCGTCTTCAATGTGAGAAAGCATCCACTTGGAAACAAATTTTAATTTGTAATCAAAATCTTGATTATGAGACCTACCAAAAGAAATAGATTAACGTAAATTTAAATTATTGGGTAGGAAAGCAAAGCTTCATATTTAGTACATATGCAATTTACCAATTTAATCGAGGTAAGAGAATATATATATATATATATATAAACCTTTGCAAGTATTTAACTATAACAAAGTTGCTTTTACGAGTACGCAATCTCACTAGAGCAAGTCAGAAGAGAGAGTAGTAGACTACAACTAAAATGGCCTCATTTAGTTGCTAAAAATCCAGTTTTTTTAGACCATCAAGTAAATCCAGCAATGAACCGATTGGAGTGGATAAAAAGGATTCATGTAGTCGTCGAGTGCTTTTAAGCACAACCTAACATGCTCTTAGGTGATTTTTGTTATCGTTGCCTTTGTTTTCCATTCTCACTTCTTCAGTTCTACTGTTTCATAAAGGTTTGTGAAATTATGCCTCTAGTCTTTGAATTTTTAAGGTATTTTAGTAGAAATGCTCTAAATTTTGATAAATTGTGAAAAAGATTGAACAAGATGAGCAGTTTAAGGTATAAAGGTAGATAAATGAATATGTGAACAGCTCACCAGTGGTCAGGGTATATATGAACTGAGGCAAAATCAACAGTTGATATCTTTGAGTTGCGAATGAAATCAGATCCAAGATCAGCTGCCCAGAACTCTGGATTAACAGTTAACCTTTTCGGACTTTTAGGACCATAAAATCCTTCAAGACCAACAGTCAGCAGATGCTTCCTATCAATTGCTTTCACAAAATTCGACATTTCTTCTATCCAATCCTGTAATTATATGAGATACAGTTCATATATGTTTAACAATGTGACTGAAAGAATCTCGTTTCAGTTGTTTACTTGTATGAGAATGCATAAAGATATTGAAAGACTATTTATACATAAGGATGACAGAAAGGGGTTTAAAAAGTTATAGATGCAACTTCTTAAAAATGTGAGCTTATGCTGAAAATTCTACAGGGACAACCTTTTTCTCTATCACTATGTGTCGCTCCGACTGGTATGGACAGTCTTTTTTGGTGAACTTTTTTAGGGATTGATATGGAAATGCTAGAAACATGTGAAGTCTCAAAATTGTAATCATGGCACACCCGTCTTAGTAATGATGTTGGTCTCTATAGTAAAAACAGAAAAGATAAAGTTCAACACAGCAATCTAATGTCATTATCAATCTAATTAGAGGAAACAACTGTGTTGAACAAAGTTTCAAGCCCAAAATTATGTCATTGGCATTCTAAATATTGGAAACAAATTAAGTTCAAGAAAAGCTTAATTTATTAACTGACATTGAATAGTTATCGCGGTAATTTTAATAAATAAACTTCTTGAGTGGAAAGGGGGGTGAGAAGTTCGCAACATACTTGGAGTGTGTCACCAGAAGCATCAGTCATGCAGCGCGGTTCATTAATTAACTCCCATGCAAAGATTGTCGGATCGTCCCTGTATTCAATTCCAGTGAATGTGTTCTTCCTTGTCAACACTGTCTGCCAATTATGCAATATAATTTAATGATGATATGGAACAAACTCCACTGGTGTAGAATGATGAAAAAGAGAAGCAAGTACATTTTATTAATCATGCTACAGAATGCAGAAAAGGAAACGAACGCATATCTAATAACTTAACAGGTGCTAAAATTTGTTGCAAGTAATAATTTGAGACCATAAACAGAAAGGAAATACTTATCCACGCATAATTCCTTGAGCAAGGGCAGAGATATATCAGGAATTCATAATATTGGTATGGGAGCACTTGGGATACTTGATGTGATTTGTTGTCCCAAGAACTAGAATAAGCAGAAAGGCAAGAGAAGAAAAAACTAGTAAAGGCACGTATGGATGATAAAAGAATGGAGAAAAAGGAAGAATCCTTTGTTTTCGCTTTTGTTTTTTAACTTTCTCATTTGATTTCCTTTCTCATTATTAGTTCTGCTCCTGCACCACGTATTCCTAGGCTGAAAATCTCTGCTGCTTACATTAATTCATACCATTATATTTAAGAGATGACCTGTATATAACTGCCATTGACTAAAAGTTCAAAAATCATGCCAAAGAGCACATAACCTTCGTGAAAAGTAATTCATAGAATTCATACTTGAATGAGAAATTTCCCAATCCCAAATTACTGGCCTGATGGATATGGTAAGATTGAATTCACGTAACATACGATGAATATTTTCTATCTTTCTGCTTTAAGGTGCTATATAAGTAGAAATCAGATTCCATGAATCTAGTATGTAAAGAGTACCAATGAAGGATTTTATAAATAAGCCAGTAAGGGGGTGAATAATCAAAGAGGAGTTTATTGTAGGAAAGTGGACATTTGGGATGTCCAAAAGAAGAATTAGATTTTGGGCTGGAGCATGTAACAATATAAAACAACAGATACTTCTTCTTATGTTACTCGATTTCTAGCATAGAGTATATCAATGGTAAATTATTTGGTTTATGAGCCAGATACTCCTACTGCCTCTTTCTAAAGTAATTTTTTCACTTGAGGTATAACAATTGGAGCAACAACACATCTATTGAAACATCCAATGAAATGAAATCTTTTGCAACCACATATCGCCCTATTAAATAGATCCGCTCTTCTAACATGTTCTGCTGAATTGCTTAGAAACTTCTTTAGATGGTGAGACTTGGACAAAACATGTCCTGACAATTTAAGCTTTTATAATTTTTTGTTAATGGCATAAAAAGGTAACAAAAACGTGGTTTCGGAAGAAACTGAGAAACAATCTCTCCAGCGCATAAATGACTGGGAGTTCATGTGCCATCATCTTTGGTAAAATCAAGTCCACTAGGTTGAAACTTGAAGCCATTATTATACCTTATCCTTCTAGCACTTCTTTATAGTAAGCCCATGTTTGGCTGCCGTTTATAATTTGTTTATAAACGATCAAATCACTTTTTATCTACATATTTTATAGGACTTACAAGTAGAACCAACTTATCCACCCTCATTTCTATCTATTTATAAATTAAACTGTTATAAACCACTCCCACACATGCTTTAAGAATCTAAAAGGAAGCATTTTAGGATCTTGGTTGATTAACTCATTTTCAATTATGGTAGAGACCAATGATTTTTCCTTGTAGTGATGTTAACTAGTATAGAGAGTGGTACCTCTATAAATGAGGTTTCAAAAAACTCGATCAAGAATTTTATAAAACAGTACAGGAATTTTCGATGCCAAATTAATATCAAGCATGGATGGCAGATAAATATTCTAGTTTATGCTTCGCCTTCTACGATTTTCCAATTATATATCTGACAATTAGAAACAGTTAATATACCAAAAAGATTGTTATGTTTTAGATCAAACAAATCTAAAACGGCAATATCTGCTATGGTTCAAAGTTGTCTTTTTCACCACAGGAACTTTGAAACTTATTAAAGAATTGATAGAAATAGACACCATAACATCCAATAAGTTGCAGAATCATGATGCATAGTGCACAGAAGTCATATTCCTAAGTTTAGAAAGAAAACTAAAAAGTCTAACAGAAAATGCAGTATACTATTTTGCCAAGCAACAAAACAAAATAAAATCTTCAATTATATTTTAACAACAAAATTCAGACATTTAAGACATTTTTCAATGAAAAAGGTAAAGAAAAGGAATTGATATAAGATTACCTTGACATAGTTTTTATAATAATGCAAAATTGATGGGTCGTAGAAGAATGAATCGTTAGAAGCGCTTAAACCAACACCCTCTTCCCATGCCCACTGAACGTACTGAGTCTTTCCACCATATGCTTGCAAGTTATTAACCAAGCTTAGTATCAGCCTTATTCCATGCTTTCTTGCTTCTGCAATTACATTATCTAAGGACTGCCATATAAATGCATATAAGCATTAAATGAGAGGTGACAAATAATGAAAATAACAGTAAATAACCACGTAGGATGCACAAATCCGGGGCAGCAAAACCTCTCTGCAGTTATTCAAAACAGAAAGTGACCACTGAATCCAACATTTTATAGGGCCAGTTTTGAATTTCCATGAGATCAACAGATTCTACAAGGGAGCTTATGAGACTAGAATGATCCAATTTTAATTTATGGACTCTGATGGGTCAATCCTTTCAATATTCCGCAGACATTTCAAGGGCAAGTTCAGTGTGCAGGATTGCATACCACTCGACTTTACTGGACAACTCATTGGATAAGATTCAGCTTCGTTTTATTCTTTAACATTGTCCGCTCCACCACACCAAACATGCCGTTAGGATATTGAGTTATTAAAAGATGAGCTATTTTGGCACGACAGCATAGAATTTGACTGAAACAAAATATATATCACAACCAACATAAAGCAAGGAAATGAGAATCTTGAGTAACTGCTATATGAACAATGGTAAAAAAAACAGTAACCAATTTACTTAGAATTAGATTAAACTCACTCTGAATACTCTTTCATCGAATCGACCAGGGGAAATTTGGAGAGCATTGTATCCACCATCATTGAAAGCCCAAGTTCTGCACACTGTGAGGCCCATCTTGGCACCAGCTTGCAGCATTGCACTGATCCTGGATCTGCTGGATTCATCCACACCATGGTCCATCAACCAGTAAGAATTCCATCCATTAATGTAAAAAGGTTTACCATCCACCATGAACTGAGTCCCATTCCTCTCCACAAAGCTTAATTTTGTTTCCCCATGAAAATCAATCCACAGGTCCCCAAAAGACATGTATATGAAAGCAACACATAATGCAAAACCAATGATAGGGTACAACATCCCATTTCCTCCTGCCATTCTGTTCATATGTGATTTAACCATGAAAATGAACAAAAAAACCCAACACTGTGTACTCTTTATGCTGCAGAATTATGGAACTGATGAAACAATCGGTATCAAAATGGTACCAGAAATCAAGAATGTCAAAAAATATGAATCCCAAGATGGGTTTTTGTGGATTGGTCCGTTTGGATCTATATAGCTCCCCAAACTTTGGACTACAGTTAAGGATTAGACTTTAATGGCACCCCAGATCCCTTCTGCAAAAGGGTACCCAAATAAATACTAGAAAGACAGCCAAAGCCCAAGAATGATCAATGAGGAGTCGACGCTTCTTGTGTGTGACTGCGTGTGCGCGTATGCGTGTGTTATCTTCTTCCTGTTACTATGGGCGTTTTATAGTACAACAATGTGAACCACACAGGGAAGTTGAGATTTGAGGATAACACACCTAACATACATCGATTTCAAGTAACAGTAACAGAATTCAGAAGAAAGTTTAATGAAGATGAAGGTGAAATGTTGGCATCAAATATTGCCTAATTAAGATCTGGAGCTACCGAAATCATTGGTTTTCATTCATTTCTTGAAATTTTAAGATACGACTTATCCACATTATTTTTTTTTCATATTTTCAAAAATGGAATTTTTTTATCATGTGCTTATCGGCTTATCCCCAGTTTGATACTCTACGTGGTGAATTCACCCAAGAATAAATACTGTACTGATGTGACTTTTTAAGCGCTTTTAGCTTACAAATATCTTGCATAATCATTAAAAAAATCAGAGAAAAAGACTCCCTAAGATTTCCAAACTCTACTCACCATCTCCCATGTGCGCTGGAACAATAGTAGGTACAACTCCTCTATTTTGGTTTCAATGTCCCTTTCTTTATTCTCAACTTCTCGTACATTCTTTGACCGGGTGTCTTTCCCCAGATGGCATATGCCATCATACAATGTAACATGTCTAGCACAAATTCAGGGCTTGTTTGGTAGGGATTCTCATTTTCTACAGTAAATCAATTCTCATTTTCAACCACACATTCTTCAGTAAAATAATATTTTCCATCACATCAATAATTTTTTCTTCTTTTTCAACCACACATTTCCCATCATATCACTATTCAAAATCAATTCTTCCTCCAAAAAATATCTACCAAACAAGCTCTCATGTTTATTTGTGATTTTAGGAAGTTATGGTCGAAAGAAAAATTTTAAGAGTGTTTGGCGTCGCTATATTTAGGAGAATTATTTATTTGATGGCCCTTTTTCAACCATCAAAATGAAAAAGAAAAAGGGAGACTCATTTTAAAATTATCATCGAAACAAATTTTTAATTTCCTAGTATATTATTATTGTAGTATGTGAAATACTTTCACTTGAACGAGTAAGATCAACATGAACACTGCAAGCTATTCTTCTTCTATTCAATTTTATTATCCTTCTAATTGACTTTCAGGTCAAAATAAAAAGTGTTTTGATACCTAATTATTACTTAAAACAGGTCTTAGGGTTAATAAGATGGGTATATCTTCTATTTATTAAAAGTGGATATGTAACGGAATTTCTTGTTTTAACGGAAAAACTAACGGAATTTGTTGTTTTAACGAACTATGTAACGGAATTTCTTGTTTTAAACAGGCAGCTGCACCTTCCTTCAGTGTTTTTATCATAACTTTGTATTCCGATATCCGATTGAGGCGATTCAAAATGCGTTGGAAAGCTAACTCATCTGGCTACAACTTTGATTCAGACATCATTCTCCAATTCGATCACTTTCTATGCCAAAAATAGTTCTCAATATGAGACTAAAATATCGGAGCATAACTTTTCGGTTGGAAATTGATTTGTGATCATCTTTTGACTAAATTTGATTACATTGACGTCTTCCTTTATCCAATTGACTCCGAGCACTCTCAAATCTTCATCGTGAGGTTCGGCACAACTTTTAAGTATTTA